GAAAATCCCCAAAAGAACATCACGGATCAGACATACCAAATATGGAGAGATATGGTAGGAACTAAAATAAGACCCTATCTCGACTCAAATATGTCTGTCAATGTCCGGGGCATCATGTGAAATAGACTCTCAAATACAGAAATAGATAAGATAAAACGAAATATAAGAAAAAGTACAATCAGACATAATCCAAGCAAAAATGAAGCTAGAATGGAAATAGATAATATGACAGAGGATGAGGTACAAACTAAAATAAATGAGATACGAAATAATGATCTCTCAGGAAATGAAAGTGACGAATCTAGCTGCTAAATAAACAATTGCACTGATTCGGATTCTGTCACTGATGAAGATGAATCAAACGACATTAAAGCAGAATTCCTTGAAAACGCCAGAGTTGAAATCACTGAAATTAAAAACCACATCATTCAAATAATCAGCAGAGTAACTCTCACACAAATGTCAAAAAGAAACTGGCTTCCAAAAATGCATATGACAAAGTCTAATAAGCATACTGTGCAAATATATAACGTTGTACCGCAAATATTGTTAACAGACAGACGACATGACTAAAGTAAATAATATCATAAATTCAACAACTTTAGCAGCTATTGAAAAACTTAATGTCAAAACAAATAAAAGACTAAAGAACAGCCAAAAAGAGACCACATGGAAGGCAAAATTAAAGCGATAAATTGAATTAGATGAGATTTCAAGAAATTAAAATATTTCAACACGGAAAAGCAAGAGGGTCAAGCAGAAATATAAAATTAAAGCAGTAAATGAAATTTCACCAATCAAGGAGATACTTAAAGAGAAACTGTGATTAAAGACACAGAGAACAATACGATATAGAAAGCATCGAAGGATCTATCGACAAAATAAGATATTGCAAACGAACCTCAGGGAAATTGGAAAAGCAGTTAGAGTAATCAAAAAGCCATGATCTATTTAAAAAGGGCAAAAATTTGGGGAGAATAAATGAAGCAATCCAAAGGAATATAATCCCAATGCAGAGTGGATGAAACGAGAACAAGAAAGAATGAAGGATAAACCTGTGCAAGAATGGAAAAATATAATCAAGAATAATATAAGGCAAAATCCCCAAAATGGAAATCCTCAGGAAATGACAAGGTACCCAATTTTTGGCTCTATCATCTGTCATCAATTCATAAAACTCTTGCGCGAATTGATCGAAATTGTGGGCAAACTATGCGAAGTTCATGTGTGTTCTGTTGTTTTTGTTCAAGTATTTTTGACAGTCTCAGTCATTATCAAGAACCGTGTGCTGTCAGTGTAATTGGCAAAATTCCGTTGGCCACATCGTGGTATTTTGTCGAGAGCTGAAGGTTTGAAACAATCCAAAGTTATATCGTGTGTAACAGTTAAAGGGCTGGGACCACATCAGAAAGAATGCATCAAATATTATTATTATTATTATTATTATTATTATTATTATTATCGCCGTTGTTGTCGTTATTATTATTGTTTCCTTTGATTTCTGTTGTATACACATTTCCTTCCGGTCCCTAACCAGAGACATCTTATTCAATAATTGCCACCCCATCAGCCTAAAAAAAAATCTACGTATTACGCATTAAACGCATCTGTTATCACAAGGAAAATTACAACTTACTCATAGGACAACTTTACAATGACTTTCTTAATAGGAATTAACCACTTAAAATAATCAAAGAATCCATCACCGAAGCTTCCAAACATAACAGAAACACTCTCCTCAACTATTCAAAGAATTCCAAAAACCCCATAGTCTTTTATTTTAATTATAACATCCACAAACTTTCCCACACATTAAGTAAAGATTTCCAACACTTAGAATTAGACAATACTATTAGTAATTTATTTAGCGATAACACCCTACACGCGAGGCGACAGTCCCCCCCCCACCAACCTCTTTTAACATTATCAAAAATCTGCAACACATCACCTCATCAAGGGAATGTCACCTGCAACAAACCCCTGTGCCTAGTCTGCAAACACATCTTCACTCACCCCGCTACTCACGTAGCATTCAGACCCTCTGCTCTAAGCTGTAACAGTTCCAATCTCGTATACTTACTTTACTGTACAAATGTGAGAAGAGGAATTATGTGGGAGAAACCGGAATAGGGTTCAGTTTACGGTCCAGTAACTACAAGAAAAGCATCAGGGACAACAACAACAATTCCTATCTCTGGATACTTCAACCAACTTGGTCATATCATCGACGATGTTGGGTGCGTGCTTTTAGCCTCTGGATTCGTTAACCGGGAGGATAGACGCAGATCGGAGTTGAAGTATACCCTAAAAGAAAATCCCAACATAAAGGGACTAAACAGAGATTTGGGTTTACTCAGAGAGTATAATTTGTCCAAGGAAACCCATTATGAGGAACACCACTCCGCGGATGAGTAGGTCCTCCACACACATTTTAACTCCAAATTTTAACAGCCATTTACCTAGCTATATTTTTATGTTCTGCCACCTATGATTTCCCTCATTATGCACTAATCAGTAATGGAAGTATTGCCATGTACACTGAAGGATACTTTCCGGTCACCCTCTTTTATACCATCTTTGGTTCTACAACTATAGTTCCTTTACATATAAGCTTATGTAAGGAATGTGGAAGGTTAGTGTAGATACATATTAATCTTGTATATGTATTCATATCTTTACGTGTATTGAGATTCATAAATTCGTGTGGTGGCTTGTGTATATTTACAGACTGCTATGTGCACTTATGTACACATGCGCAGTATGTATACTTTTTTCTTCTCTGCTTTTTTCTTTATTTTTCTGCATTCCGCCATTTTTTTTAACTATAGACGTTTTATAAAGTTTTATCCTTTTATTTGTTCCTTCCTTTTTTTTTCTTTTCCTTTTATTTCATTTAATTATATTTTATTATTGTATATGTATTCCTTGTTCCGCCTCACTTTTTTTTTGTCTCGTCAGATGTTATAACTACAGCCCGTATTTCGGAAATGGACAAGTTATCCTAACTACAGTCCGTTTTACTGAAATTGACAATTTTCGGCTACACTGTCTACACGCGAGACGTCTTCCCCACTTCACAACCTATAACTCTCTTCATCTATGTTTACAATCTTACTCCCCCACTCCCCTATACCTAATAATAGCCAGGCCTAACGCTCTTACACCAATCAAAATTTTAAATTTAAGTTTATTTTCATAAAATGTTTCGCACAGGGAGGAATTAGACAGCAACGACAAATCGTGTATACGAGACGCGGAAGCGAAAATCGCATCGCAACTCGTAATGTCACACAAGACCACGCGAGAGTGAAAACGAGAAGTATTAAGTATGGGAAGCCGTTGGTATAAACCAATGGCTTCTGTTATCAATTATAGGCATTAAAAATATTTGTGGAGATTTCATCGTTTATTTTGTTCAGGTTAGGTTTCAACTGTTTTATGTATATAGCTTCAAGAGTTTTTAGTTTTTGTTTATTGTTTTCATGTTTAAGTATAGTTATAAAAATTCTTGAAGCTATATACATACTTAATACTTCTCGTTTTCACTCTCGCGTGGTCATGTGTGATGTCACGAGCTGCGATGCGATTTTCGCCTCCGTGTCTCGTATACACGAGTTTGTCGTTTCTTTGAAATTTTTCATACAACAAAAACAGACTATCATTATTGTTTTGTCCGTGTATTGTTTGATATATTCAAATGTAATTGTCATCTTTGATAATGGCTTATGTAAGCCGAAAGCTTAGATGGGATTAAAACATGTATCAATATGGTGATTACCTTTCGTCTTTCAATGATAATCTTATTAAGCTTATCAGACAATATGAAAGGAACTTACTTAAAATGAACAGACAAAACTTGTCTATATTATTCAATGAAACATGCATCAATGAAAAATTGCTGTCTGTATACACACACACACACAATATATATATATATATATATATACATATATATATATATATATATATATAATCTACAAAAACCATTATAGAGGGTTTTGTTTTTAATCATTTCACTCCAAGCAAGAAAAACAACGGATATACATCTACTTATATTCAATAGATAGGGAAAGCGTGTGAACCGAGTAATAGGCGAATCTATCTACTTCTATTGAAAAAAAGTAACAAATAAAAAGGACTTCATTATTGTGTCGTTGAGACAGATACACCTATCTAGCTATACTCTTAGAGAGCAATACATTCCGCCTTCTTAGCCTTTTCAACTGTCTTGAAGTGGAACGACTACATAGAATCAATAGCTGCATCTACTGCAAGGAAAGTTGGGTCACTGTGTTGTGCCAGAAGTTTTTTCTCATCAAAGTCAATCTTGCACATTTACAAATCTACCATTCGTCTGCACATTGACTACTGCTACCATATCTGGTCTGGTGCCCCTGCTATTCATCTCGTGGTTCTTGACAAAATCCAAAGAAGGATTTGCAATGTAATAGATTCTAACTTGGCGTCTCGACTTCAGTCACTTTCTCACCACAGACGCGGCGTGGCTTCGCTCTGTCTTTTCTACAAATATTTTCACGGCAACTGCTCTGACTGCATGATTTAAGCGTGTTACTAGATGCCACTAGGTCCCACCCTTTTACTGTTGAAATAGTTAAATGTAACCGCCATTTCTACTCTAACAGTTTATTTTCTCTCACTTCCCGCCCGTGGAACTCCCTTACGTTTACTTACTTCCCTGAAAAATACAATCTTCAAAAATTTAAATGCAACGTCAATCGCCATCTTCTATCTTCTTTTATCCTTTCCTCAATCCTCCCTATACTCTGTCTTTTCTCTCACTTTCACTCTCTGTAGTCCCTGCGTACTAATGCGTACTAATTCTCGCCTTGTTTGGGGTGAAATGATTAAAACATAAATATGTGTGCATATTCAGTCATTCGAGTGTGCGCGCGCACGCGCATGTGTGCGCGCGCGCACGCGCATGTGTGCGCGCGCGCATATGTTCAGTGTTTTTGTTATGATTTGGGTGTAAACATTTTATGACTCCATCTGCCCCACGTATAATTTCTTTTTGTAGTCAATACGTTATCCAGCCCTAGACGAGAACCTAACAGAGACTCAAAAACAATAAATCTGGTAGTAAAATTAGCGCAACAGTTTCACCCAGTTTATACAGAGGACCCTTATCGCGTTGCTTAGTTTTGACACGAGGCGCCGCTCTGAGACTAGCAGTAACAGCAGCGATCTCGGAGACCAGATTTTTCACCGTACCAGCTTATATATCCTAGTGATGGCGACGTTATGCCTCCATTCATCTTCCCACAGGCCCTCAGCCTAAACACGGAGGCCTACACCAAGTGCCCTGAGGAGGTAGTGCTGCCCTGGGTCAAGAGGGTAGCTACTGGAAGACCCTATATCTAGCACCATACCACACAAGAAGAAGAACCCAGTCAGACAATTTCTGCGACGACATCATCCCTTACATCTGGTCACCTAACTCTCCAGATCTGCAACCTCCTTGATTATTATGTGTGGAGCGCATTTGAACGGAAAGCCAACAAAACTCATTGTAACACCAAAGATGAACTGAAGGCAAGGATTATGGCAGCATTCACCAACTTAAATAATGAGGCCGTCCAGACGAGTTGCAGGAGATTCCGAAGTCATCTTGAGGCCGTGGTTGAAGCCAATGGCGATTTTATTGAATAAATTTACTCTTTAGTATTTCAAGATATTTTTTGTTTAATGTTGGTAAATATGTCTGTTAAAATGAGATGTCAGTGTCATTTTTGCGTAATTTAGACAATTTATTCATCTATCTATCTATCTATCTATCTATCTATCTATCTATCTATCTATCTATCTATCTATCTATCCCAGTCTGTTCATGTTGTAGCATACCTACTGACGATAATGGGTATGTCCCCATTCACATAAATACGTTGGTCTGCAGCCGTCGATTTGGACAGTATGGGAGTCCTATTTAAACATTTGACGTACGACTTATTTCAGCATTGCAATAGTAAGTGACTTTTTTGTCAGTTTTTGTTTTTAGGATGAACAGTTTATTTTAGTACACATTGGTTTTGCTTAAAAATATTGTTTTAGAGGATTTTCACGTGTTTTGTCGTGGGAGCCCTCCTCACTAGCATTATGGAGGAGTCTCCCGCCAGCCCAGAGAAATCAACGCCAGCTATTCCAAGCGCATGAGCGTCAGGAAAAGCAAAGAAGAGGCCAGAGTATTACGAGGCTCTCAAAGAAAAGTACAAAGAATTTATTGACGGTAATGAATTACTATCAATACCGTCTGTTTTCGTCTGCTAACTTCAGATGTTAAGTCCCGGGAGCTGATAGGAGTCAGCCGGGAAATAATGGAGGAGGCTCTTAAAACCCTCAACATAGCCTCGAAAATTCTGGCCAAAAGTTCCAACGCCATTTGGGATATACTCCTGGCAACGGAGGACGAAACCAAAAGACTAGATGGGAGTATCCTCATTACGAAATCAGACTACAGAGTACATGGGCACCCGCAAGACTAAGATTACGTTACAGGGGGGGGTGCCCATGGATATATCTGAGGACCAAATGGGAGTCTTTTTTGCTCAATATGGACAGGTTGCTGACGTCACGCCGGCGAAAGGCAAAACAGGCATATCCACCGGGGATGTTATCGTACATCTGATTCCAACTATGAAAACTTTCAATGACATCCCCGTTATCTTGACTTGCGGTGGAAGAAAAATATCTGTAGTTGTGCAAGGCCGACGGCCTCATTGTTGGTCTTGAGGGGCTGCGGGTCATATGTCTAAGGAATGCCTTGGCAAGAACCCGGCACCACCAACTGAGCAACAGTCGGCAGCCAAAACAGCCAACAGTCCAACAACCAACTGTCCAACAGCCAACAGTTCAACAACAGGCATCAGTAAAGGAAGCTGTGGTCTGTGGGGAAAATTGTGAAACGCCTGCAAATCTGTGCGGTGTGCAAAACTCCAGTTCTCCAGCGGTAAAGGGAACCAAAATGGCGGCGCGCATATTTTATGCCGGGCGGTCTCGGTTAGTTAACGCGAAATCTCGTTATCTCGTCATTCGCATGAAAATCGTGGTCGGTCCTCGGCTGTATAAAGCAGGCGCGTTTTGCTGTTTCGGATCAGCAGGCTTTTGGCTCGTGAGAAGGTTGGACGTGCGACACCGGGTTTTTTTTTTGGTTACCCTCCTCACGGTTCTTTGTTCCTACCTACTATTGTCAGTTTAGTCGTTGTGTTACTTCCCACATGGGCCAAACCCCTAAAGATGCCAGTGAGTGGCAGCAGGTGACCAGGAAGGGACGCAAAGCAGCAACCCCTTCTACATCTCCCCAGCAAGAAGTCTCACCGGGGCGTAAACAACAAAGCCCGAAGCAGAAGCCTTTTCAGCAGCACAGCAACACCAAGAGGTACAGCAGTGCCAACAGACGTAGCAACAACGATAGACACAGCAACTCCAAGAGGCACAGCAACAAAAGGCACATCCACTGGAACAACAACAATACCAACAACAACTAGAGGAATATTTACAAATGCAGACTGAGCACCAGCTACTGGATATAGGTATGGAGGTGGAGGTCATGTCTCCACCTAGATCGTCTTCTTTGAAAAGGGGGAGGGACGATGAGGTGGACAACGAGAAGGAAGAAGAGAAAATTTTGAAAAAAGAAAAAAGTCTGATCATAGCAAATTCAGAGATTACCCCAGGTCCCATTCGCTTCCCGCCTCGCCAACTAAGGGAAAAGACACTGGGGAAAATAGGACTATGAGCCTCCCCACTTCCTCCACTAAAGTTTTGCAATCTCCCTCCCCCATAGTATCCCTCGCTTCAGTGGAAAAAAGAAAAACCCCTCCCAAGAAAAAGAAAAACGTTCCCTAAGGGCGTGCCTAGTTTCCAGGTGGACAGAAGGGCCTTGAAAAGAGACCTCTCAGTACAAAAGAAGTCCCTACTAAGACATCTAATTAAATGTACCTCCGTCGACGCCAAGTCAAGGGAGGACCCTCGAAACTTTCCAAAAGCACCTGGTGGGACGACTTTCATCAGGGACACGGAGGGAAATCTGAAAGTTTGGGATCACTTAGCGGAGGTGCAAATGTCGCAAATGTGCGCAGGGAGGGACCCGGTTATTCTCCATCCTTCTTTATATAGGACGCTAAAATTAACCTACTCTACAGACGTCGGCGGCATTGTCTTGGAGGGACGAATTACATCCGACATAGGCACAGGAAGTCTAGGACACTACGTCGGGGTCCTGAAACACGCAGATTTCCGTCCAGTCTGCGTTTAGGGATCACGCTTAAATTATGTCTATCAAGCTAGCCAACCTGGCTTGAGTGATCGGGGTAAGGCTGCCCGTCTTCTTCGGGATCTCTTGTCCTTTGACGTAAATGTAGCTGCGATCCAGGAAACACACTTTGTTTGCGACGTTGATGCGCGTGTGCTGTCTAGCGACTTTGTTGTTTATTCACCATACGGGGAAGGAGCAGGCCAGAGGTGTTTCCTTGTTAGTTAAACATACCCTGGGTGCGAGGGTGGACCTTGTTCATGCCGACGCGCGAGTGGGGGGCAGTTGATCGTGGCTGATATTGCTGTAAGCAGTGGTTCGTTTCGGGTCGTTGCTGTTAATGCGCCCAGTGACCACAGTGAGCTTGTCGACCTTTTCCGTCGGTTGGGGCCCTTCCTTGTTGATTCTTCGCGCTTAGTCTTAATGGGGGACTGGAATGCCGTCCTGGACTCCAAGATAGATAGCGGGCGGGGTGCAAGCGCGAAGGCACGGACGATCGTAGCCTGGTTGATCTGATCGGCGACTTTCAGCTCGTCGATAGATACCGGGTCGATCATCCGAGGGTGGAGATGTGGAAGTGGACTCATAGTTAGCCGTCTCTCCAGGTAGCCAGCTACCTGGACAGAATGTTAGCGAGAAGGATCGACCGGTTGCAAGCCGGTGTGTTGGAAGTGTGGAGAGACTGGTCACCTCTCCTCTTCCAGCCCAGAGAAGAAGGCCTCTGGAAGTCAGGCTCCAGTTGACCAAAATCCTCCTCTGACCGCGTCTTTATCTTCCGCCTCGCCTGTAATTGGCATGCCACCTTCCGGGAATGGTTCGGTGAAACCTCCGGTTGGGTCGAGTTCTAAGACCCCATTCCCCCGAAAAGCCTTCGCCCACTGCTAGTGCTGTTGTGGAGAAGGGGGTGGGGGAATGGCAGGTTGCTGGTAAGGTCAGAGGGAAGCGCCATACAGTGGGGCCTCAGTTCCATGAAACCCCAAGGACGAAAGGCACAAACAGCCCCACTCCCTCTGTCAACGTTAAGGTCAATGCTCTGGTCTCACATTCGACCTTTAAAGAACAGCAAAAAGTATGACCCTGGTTTCGAAAAGACGGAAAAAAGGTAAAGCTGCTAAAGGAAAAGATTGACCAACAAAAAAACAAGCTCATACAAAAAAGGCCACTCCCTCAACGTCCCCTGTCCTGTCCACACCTTCGCCACAGAAATATCCTTCACTCTCCCTCAACACCTTCAAAAACAGTTCTCCTCAGTAGAGATCCCAGCCCTTGCAAACAAAGATCCACTACTACTCCTCATCATACCCAGTCCTTCCCCCATTAAAAACCCTGAAATGCTCCCTCCCGCTCCAAAAAGACAGAGAAGTCCTACCCAAGAGTTGAAGACAAACGGAAAAAGACTCAAAAACATATATATATATAACACTGGGGAGGATGTCTGCCGAATTTCCCCGGCCCAAGCCGAAAGAGCCAAAGACTATGGCAATCAGATCAAAGACTTGAAATATCTTCTATCTATCCGGCAATATGCCGATATGGATGTGGAGGAGCCGCAAAACTTCCCAAATGCCCAGACGGTTTTAACGGTCATACGGAAAGGAACGGCAGCTTGGCAGGCATGGACGATGTTGTATGGGGCGATCATCTCTTATAAAATTTCCTCGCCAATCGCCATAGCGGAAAACAAGCAGCTTAAACATTTGAAACAGTTTCGTGCAGGAAGGGTCCCAGTTTTAGTTCATCCCTCCCTCTATTGAGCACTGAAACTGACATTTCCCTGGGATATGGGCGGACTCTCCCAAGACGGTACCATCAAGACTGAGATGGGCCAAGGATCAATGGGAGAGGCTGCCGGTATCCTTACCAGTCGCCCGTCTTTGTCTCCTTGCTCGCTCTGATTTACAACAACTGGATGAAGCATGGGTCTATACCTCAACGTTTCACCAGGGGTGTGATCAAGTTCCTTCGCAAGAGCAAAGACGGTGAGGATGGGTTAAGTAATTATCGGCCTTTGACGATGTTAAATACAGAGTTGAAGTTTAATGTTAAGACAGAAGATGACCATCCTCCCCCACCCTTTTCCGTTTCCGGACTTGTGCCTTATTTGTACAATAAATATTCTGCAGTTGGAGATCCGTCTCCAGCCGTGTTGGTCAAACTCTCTGCCCCCTTGCGGAGAGGTTCCCCAAACGAGGCTATGTCGAAGGGCATAGTCTCGTCTCGGAAAACAGCGACCGACTCCGTTTTATATGGGGGTCTACGGGAAATTTTTATGCTCGGATACCCCACATTAAATTCGGCCTTGTACCACATCTGACCGCATGGGGCGGTTGGTAGATATCCTGCAGTTGGAGATTCATTGTGGAATTCACTTGACTCACTTCTAGCAGTTGACTACTACTTCTACGCGCCGCTGGCGAATCTTTTATGTGTTGGTCTTGTCCTAAGTATTATCGTTCATCACCAACCTTCCTTTGATTATTCTATTCGGTAACCTTCCGTAGGTTACAACATTTTGGCAACGAGGATTAGCCAAAATTACAACAGTTCATCTATCTATCTATCTATCTATCTTCATCTTTTTCTGCCCCTCTCTCTCTCTCTCTCTCTCTCTCTCTCTCTCTGTTCGTTGTTGTTTATCTTTGTTCATATCTATCTATCTATCTATCTATCTATCTATCTATCTATCTTCATCTTTTCTGTCCCCCTCTCTCTCTGTTCGTTGTTGTGTATCTTTGTTCATATCTATCTATCTATCTATCTTCATCTTTTTTGCCTCCCCCCTCTCTCTCTGTTCGTTGTTGTGTATCTTTGTTCATATCAATCTATCTATCTATCTATCTATTTGTCTCTCTGTCTGTCTGTCCTTGGTCTCTTTCTTTCTCAATGTGTCAGGTTGTTCCTATCTCGATACATCCCTATGTATATCTCTTTATCTGTCCCTTTCTCTCTCTCTCTCTCGTTCTAACTTTCTAGTCCAAGTTGTTCTTATCTATCTATCTATCTATCTATGTTCCTAAGAATCTATCTACATTCTAGAAACAGACGTGTGTGTGTGTGTGTGTTAAAAATAAAATGACTTAATTTCAAATTAGTGTTATCTAAATCTCTTTATCTCTAACGGGGTCTGGTATTTTCTACTCTGTACTTGTAAGTTTGTTCTGGAATATGATGTGTTCCAGCTTTCAATCACGTAGTTGCATCAGGAGAGTTAGTTGACACGAGCCACATCGTCACCAGTAACACATGACGTCACCCACCTGTTTTATTGACGTCAGCCCACATAATACTAACATCATGCACATGTCCAGCATGCATATACTTGAAGCGGTTAAGCTTTTAGCCGTATGGTAATAATCAAACTTGGCCTGGCGCTTCTGACAGACCTTCAATTTAACTTAGACGAAAAGTTTACGTTATCGTACGATTGATAGATAGAAAGACAGACTGTGTGTGAGTGTGTTTTACTGCTGTTTTAATACTGTTTTGGGTATATATTATAGCCGATTTCATGTAGTTTCTTTTTGTTTATGTTTCCACCACAATTTATTCACCTATCTATCTATCTATCTATCTAGTCATCCACAGACAGACTGTTTCGCTGTATCACAGTGTGGCTAGACATCCGATCGCTTCAAGCCGAGACCGAAACCCGACCGATTTGGTATGATTCAGAGATTCTAACCCTAGTCTAGGCAGAGAAAAAGACAAATTTTGCGTAATTTTTTCATAAACACGACAGTTACCTAGAAGACTCAATCCGTCGGGAGAGTCTTGCATTATTAGCAGTAATAGTCAGTGTTTACAAATACTCGCTTTTCCCCCACAGTGCTCGACAGAATTAATTTATTTTCAGGAGCTTAAATTTCAGGTAAGAGTCTAATTTATTCAATGCTGACGAGCGGTGTATCTAAGAAACTTGAATTACGATAGATAATTTTTTAAAACTTTTTTTTTCAATCTTTTAACTGTTATTGCTTGTTTTTATTTTTTGTATTTTTTAATATTCAACACCTTGTTTACAGAACCTGCTCAACTTTAAACGCGTTAAACTCCAGTAATTTACTAAACTACGTGCTTTGTTAGGTGTTCAAGATCTGTGCTATTCGCAGGGACAGGTGCATGGCCGCACAAACGCACACACGGACACAAAAAATACAGAAAAAAACTTACACCACTGTTAAATGTACATAAAAGGAAAAAAAATATAAACAGTAAATTGCTGATACCCTCTAAAGAGTGTACGGGTAGGTCCGTCTACGAAACTCTGGAGTCGGGATGCTGAAGGTAACATCAATCAGCTAAGTGACAAACTTTACTCATATTAATTATATATATATATATATATATATATATATATATATATATTATTTAATAGATATTTTTAATCCAATAATATTTCTTATTATTGTAAACGTTATATTTATTGGGTAAACATTTTGAGTAGATATCTCTTTTTTTAAAGCAATGAATTGGATACCTACCGGCCTAGAAACTGAGAGTCTGTAGGTTTGACTGCGAACCTAACAGAAATGGAACCAGTATTGCATTTTTTTCCATTAGAGAAACTACTTTTAAGCGAAGTGTGCCTTAACATTTGAACAGCCATTCCTGACCTAGTATATTTAGGCAGGAATCCTTCATTTAGATATGGTTTAATATATATATATGAAGAAATATAGTTTTAAGGTGTGCTATGTTTATGGGATAAAGTGTTCAATATCAGAGATAGAGCGTGTGTAAATATAAAAGTGAACATAGAAGTCAACACTCAGAGGCGACAACAAGTATGTCGCCTTTGAGTGTTGACTTCAATGTTCTTTTATATATATATATATATATATATATATATATATATATATATATATATATATATATATATGGAGAGAGAGAGGGAAGAGAGAGAGAGGGAGAAATAGATAGATATAATTAAAATTCTTTAAAATATATATATATATATTTTGAGTTTCCTTTAACATTTAATGAGATGTCTGAGCTTGGCGTTTATTCAGAATATCCTCTATACTTATGGGCCTAAACGAGGCTCCATCCGTACAAATACTTATGCAGCAATCGAGATAGAAGCTATTATAAATTGAAGTAATTATCGGTTAGATCGAAAATATCTTGGCCCTTTGTTGTTTGCAGTGGTCGACAGATTAAAAAAAAACTGTTCTATCATTTCTTCTTTATAAACAATTTTACGGAATTACGAACAGTTGGGTTTTATCACTGAGATAGGTAGATTCATCTAACTTAATTGCAAACATGTTTGCTTCTTTGAAGCGAGATTTTACTTGAAATCTTATACTTTTCATTAATAACAATTAAAAAAAAATTTGCGGCACACCTACGACCCTCTCACGATACACAAGTGTGCCACGGCACACCGGTTGAAAATCACTGCTATGAGATATACAAACGATATAATAACGCACAAAGATTTGAAATACATTACACATAACAACGCTTACAAATTTTGGTTTGTATATATGCGAAATGTGAGGGAGAAAGGCATTTTTAGTCTGGCTATATAAGGTATGTCATGGTTAAACGAACAAAGTAAGCTACGACAAGTCTTATCGCTGCAGAATCAAGACATTTCTCTGATGCCTGTGAGGACGGGGAGTGTTTTTGGAATTGCCTACAAAGCACTTCCCTGTTAGGTAATCAAAGAATGATGGAGAAGAAGTGGATGGTGGACAACAGAAAAACAAATAGCAAAAAGAGAACCATCAGTTAAAATTTTCAAAAATTCAAATTAAAATAGAATGAAAAAGCAAAAAAAAAAAAAAAAAAAACAAAAAAACACTCAAAACTCTACGTACGCTGCCACATAAAGTAATATATAAATACTAACTCACGTAATTTTGTAGTTACATTGCACTTAGAAAATATGATACTGATTTCACGCATTTTCATATTTATGTTCAATGAATATTAAACTTAAAGAAATAACATTCTTTTCACCCCAAGGAAGGCGGGAGTGTCACTACCACGCAGGGGTTACACAGAGAGGGAGCAAGAGTAAAGAGGTGTGGTAGAGAAACGGATGAAGAGAAGGGCGGGGAATTAGATCAAGGCATCTGAAGATGTCGATTGATATTGCATTTGAATAATTGAAGATTTAGCTATCAGTGAAACAAGTAAGGAAAGTTTGAAGCTATTGGAGTAGAAGAAATGGCTACATTTAACCGTTTCGACAGTGAAAATTCTTAGCACGCTTAAATTCATGCAGTTTGGGAACCAGCGAAAGTTACCGTGAAAATATTTGTAGAAAAGACAGAGGGAAGCGACGGCTCGTCTGTGAGAGAGCGACTGTAAACGAGATGCCAGATCAGGACCTATCACATTGCATATCCGTCTCTGGATTTTGTCGAGGACCTTGAGACTAACAGCGGGGGCTCCAGACCATATATGGCAGCAGTATTCCATGCAAGGGCGAATGGTTGATTTATAGATTTGAAGGATGGACTTGGGCGAGAAAAACTTTCAGGTGCGACACACAGACCTGACTTTCCTTGTCTATATCTCTGAGATGAAATATTATAATTACTTACTTTCGGTCGGTAAACGAAAGGAAGGGTTCGGTTCAAAATTCCAATCACCTGAAGAAGGCCGGAACGTACAACGGCCAAAATGTTGTGAATATGACAATGAAGATGAGGATAACAGTCTGAATAGTGTAAATAATGTAAGTATTCTTTTTTACTACTGAATAATTTTGATTTTCTAGTGAGCGTGTGCTGAGAATCTTAGCATTCTAACTATGAATCCCAGTTTTGTGTTTCAATATGTTAGATTGGCAAAGTAGGTAACGTCTTGATAATAACGGCCTAGGAAGATAATCCCAGCGGGCGGAACCGTTTACAAGTGTTTGAAAACCGTACCAGGGATCGACCCAAGCCTTGTCAATTGAGTAGACGGAACTGTTTGGAAATCGTGATTGCGGGTTCCGACGCACTGGTTTTGTTCAGCTACTGATGACGCCGGATTATGCATTGTTTCCAATTAATTGTGGGTAGTTGCTGTATAAATCACAGATATGGAAAAAAGAGAAATATGCCTGAGTAGGCATCTACAACAAGGATTAGCTTACCAGCCTAGTAGACAGAAATATTCGAATACGAACAGTTAGCCATACAATTACGATTTCCACATCACTAGAAGAATAATGATGAGAATTTATGGCGTAGAAAAGTGCTCCGAAAAAAGGGTATATATTTATTTATTTATTTATCCTCAATAGAAGTATATAGATTCGCCTATCATCCATTTACACTCCTCTCCGGTCTTTTGAACAGGAGTAGAGGCTTGTCCCTTGTTTCCTGTTTAGGAATGGGTTTCTGGTTCCTTTTAAAGTCTACTTCATTTCTATACTTTTAACGTCTCCGCCGAAACTCTGACGTTTTGTTTATTATTTATTTATTTATTCTCAATATGGGTAGATAGATTCGCCTATCGTCCAATCTTGTAGCCTTGCTTGAGATGAATGGATCACTTTCACTCCCAGTAGCCTTGCTTGAGATGAATGGATCACACACACACACACACACACACACACACACACACACATATATATATATATATATATAATATATCACGTATATATATATATATATATATATATATATATATATATATATATATATATATCACACACACACACACACATACATATATATATATATATATATATATTTAATTTATTTGTTTAAACATCTACTCAAGAGTCATGTTGGAGTAATGGTTAGTGGCTCGGATTGAGAAAACGGAGAGCCGAGTTCGAATTCAGTCGAAACCATTACGTTCATTTTTTTCCCCTTTGGGAAAGGTATGAATACTACTTTTCTTCTCCCCCCCCCCCAGCTATGGATAAATAGCAGGACAGATCTGGTCTACTGCAAAAAGAAATGGCAAGCTGCTGCAGGAAAAATCTGCCTCGTCAGTCATGTATTGAAAGATACATGATCGCCTAAGCGTGTATCACGCATGGCACATAACTGGCTGAAACGCCTAC